TGTTATTGAACCCAAAGAGTGTTTTAATAGTAGTGCCTTAATCCTACTACTTACTCCTGGTTTGAACATAGTGGACAACAAAGTCCAGCACATTAAGCGTTCACCACAGTGCGAGAGCTGTTCCCTGCTACAAAAGCCCATTCATAGCATCTTACAGCATACTCAATCCACAAATCTTCTGTTAAGCATGATCCCCAAGGCGTTTGGTCATCTAACACTTTATATTCATCTATAATTCACCTTCTCACACTACACATTCCCATCAATCCACTTCGTATTCCCCGTCTTCCCACTCTTAAAATACTGAAACACCTTTTCCGGCGAACTATACGGCTTGTACCCTTTATTATCCAACACCACAGTAACATTCCCCGCAGCCCTCCCCGTAGCATTCCAGCCGGGCCCAAAGCTCTGATACTCAGCCATCATCGTCGCATTAACCACCCTCGGATCCGTCGCCGACCAAGCAATATACCCCGACGGCCGGATCGAATCATCCAAATACGTCTTTGCGAAAATCGACCGATGAAGATTATTCCACGGTCTTCCGAGCGCACATTTCCCGGTGATGGCGAGAGTACTGTTTTCCTTCTCGACGCGTGAAGCATGGATGTAGACACCATACTTATTGACAAACGTCGTGTTTGTGCCTTTCCACGCCGTCACGCCGCCACCACAACCACGCAGAGCAAGTTGACTCGCCTCAATCCAAAGCGTACCAAATCCATACAGAAAGTCTGTCTGGCCGCCAATGTAGCAATGTTTCATGTACGAATTCCCCAATTTCCCGACATAGATGGTATCCTGGTAGCTCTTGAACGCGCAGTAATAAAACCCTGTGTTCGCATAACTTGTGCTCAGCGCCAGGCTAGGTCCAGCACTGTAGGGCAGATAGGCGTTTGTGAAGTTGAGGTTGTAGGCGCGGAAATCGGCGTTGCCGAAGGGGGTGTCGGCTGGAACTGTGTTTCCTGTGGGGCCGGCGCCAGTTAGGGAGGAGTTGAGGGTAGGTGCGATGGTGAGCGTGGATGTGTAGGCATTGTCCAGGGTGCCGGTTGTAGATGTGCCGGTGGCTTGGTGCCAGATGACTTCGGCGAGGTTGGCACTGTAGTCGTTGATGTGTTTTGTCTGGCCGAGGAGGTAGAGAGGGCCTGGCCGCGTGATGTTCAGTTGTTCAGTGTATATGCCCGGGAGGATGAGGATGGTGGCGGCAGACGCGTCAGCGGGGAGGGAGAGGATGGCGGATTGGATTGTGGTGAAGACATTTTTCCTGGGGTTTGTGGCATTATAGGCGGGATCTACGAGAAGAGTGCCTGAAGGACAGCCAGTCAGAGGATTTGCTGTGATTTTCTGGCAGGCTGTTCGCTGCTTTGTGGGGAGGGCAGCTGTGAGGGGGAGGAGAAGGGAGAGGAGAGGGAGCCACAATTGTGACGAGCAAGGCAGCATCTTGATACTTCTAATCACCAATGATACACAGATGAAACATATAATCGGGACAAGCACATTTAAAAAGCTTGGAAAGCTTGTTACTATATAGTGACCCCTCCCACTCATTGATTAACTGCATAGTTCGAGCCGGGGAATTTCTGGTCCTGAGAACAGGTTATAGGAAATCTATTCTCCCGGACCCAAGCTCCAACAAGACAAGACCACCAAGAGATGAATGCTTGGGGAAATGGGGATGCAGGGGTGGTACATTTAGCGCAATGTGGAGAGATGGAGATCTGGGGATGAAAAGGTCCACCAATCATGTGCCAAGCCCGGAAACGGCACATGATGAACAGCATTCCGGCCTAGGTTGTGTTTGGGTGATAACTCGCCGCTAGGTAGATGCATTTCTTTCCTGTCAAACATGGGGAATATGTAGTTGGTGTGTGACCCTGGTTTTTGGTCAATTCCAGAGGCCTCTCTGCGTGTGCAGCGTGGTAGAGGATATACAGATGGTCAAAACGCCGATGTAATGCTGCGGGTATCAAGATGCTGTTGCGCAGTCGTACGCTGTCCATGCTGTCGCTCCGTCGCTTCGTCACTCGCCATACATGTCTCTTTCGACTGCTCTCAGGATGTCTTCAACCTCTTGCTCCCTCTTCCTCTCCTTCTCTTGCTCTGCTTGCACCTTCCCTGTACCGGTGCGCTCTTTCCCCAGGTCCGCCTTGTGCTCTTTCCGCTCTTCTTCGTGATCTGCTCGCGCCTTCTCTGTGGCCGCACGCTCCTTCCCACTCACCGCCTGCTCTTTCCTCTCCTGCTGCTGATCCGTTCGTGCCTTCTCGGTGGCCAGACGCTCCTTCTCCAGGTTTGCCATCTGCTCTTTCCGCTCCTCTTCGTCGCGTGAGAACTGCATGAAGCCCGCGCCTCTGGTACGCATCTCTTGCCTGCCGTCGTAGTGGACGTCTGGCGGAGGCGCATCTGGCTCATCCACCTTCTTCCTCAGTACAGACATCTTCTGGAAGAGCGCCTCATCGGGGTTCCATGCCTCTGTTTGCACCACGTCGCCGTAGATGATGTCCTCGGGCACGGCGTTCTCTGCCTCTCGCTCTTTAAGTCTTGCCGCTTTCTGTGCCTCTCTCCATGTGCCCTTCCTCGTCCTGCCCAACTCGTCAATGTATTCGACTAGCACACCATCGTCAGATTCGTCATCGGTGTCTGAGTGCACCTCGCCCTTCTCCTCTGCCTCGGCCCACTTGGTGTCAAAGTCCACATTGTAGATGCCGTCCTTGTCGTCCATGTCGCCGCGCTTCAGTGCGCGGTACTTCCTCGCCTTCTCTTCCATGATACGTTGCCGCTTCCGCTCGCCCGCTTGGTCATCGGCCTTCTCGTCCTCTGTGCGGCCGCGGTGCTTCTGTTTGGTGGAGTCATCGAGGTCCTTCAATGCACGCTTGTTGACGCCTTTGTTGTGTGTGGTGAAGATGTCGTCCTTCTTGTCTCTATTCTTGGGACGTTCGGGTTTCCCCTTCTCTTTTGATTTGGCCCCCGATATGAGGCTTCCGAGCGTCGACGTGAACTTGCTCTTGTTGTTGATGGATATTTCCTTTCCCTTGAGTTGCCGTTGCTTTACTCCGCCATAAAGGGCAGTGTCTTTGCCTGACAGCGGGGGCATGTTAGCGGCGGTGTCGACCTAGCCGTACAGAGCGTGACGGCGGCGAAGTTTGTCGATCTGTGGGAGTTGGAGAACTGAACATGGAGGCCGGAGCTTGCGCGTGGGAGGATCGCCATCACGTCGGCGAGTCGGAGCTTGGAGCGCGCCCCTGCACCGCTTGGCTATTGGCGGGGGAGGGAGGGGCATTGAAATTATTTCACCCCACTATCCCGCAAAAGCAATAGATTCATCAGCATCTACAGCGTCATACCAGCTTGCTTTTCTAACTTTCACATTTCTCACCATCTGATAATACTCTACAAGAGTGCCATTGGCCTCTCTACAATACTTCAACTCATACACGACCCACTCAACATGCCCCTCCCCCGACAAGTCTTCATCGCCGTCATTGGTATGTCTCCTACAGCTCTCCCAGGCTCCAATTCAAGCAATACTAACAAACAAATCAGGCGCCGGAGGCGTAGGCAAAGCTTTCCTCTCCCAACTCTCTCAAGTCTCATCCAACCTCTCGCGCTCGACCTCCGCCCCCACATACGTCTCCCTCATCCTCCTCAGTACTTCCAAGAAATCCATCTATCACGCCGACTACAAGCCCCTCAACAACTGGCATGCTGAGCTCGAGGCCTCTGCCACACCTCCCCTCCCTCTTCCAGAATTGGCTGAGTATCTTGTGAAGGCTCCCGGCAAGGTTGTGCTGGTCGACAACACTTCCAATCAGGATGTTGCAGACGCATACCCAACCTTCCTGAAGAAGGGAATCTCGATCGTGACGCCGAACAAGAAAGCCTTTTCGGGAAGCTACCAGCTTTGGAGAGACATCTTCAGTGCTGCAGGGAATGGTTCCGGAGTCGGGGGATACGTGTTTCACGAATCTTCCGTGGGTGCAGGACTGCCCGTCATTTCGACTTTGAAGGAGCTTGTGGAGACTGGCGACGAGGTTCTCAAGATTGAGGGTGTGTTCAGCGGAACAATGAGTTTCTTGTTCAACTCTTTCCAGCCGCTTGGCGGTGGGGGAGGGAAGTTCTCTGCCGAGGTCAAGACGGCAAAGGAAAAGGGGTACACAGAACCAGATCCAAGGGACGACCTGAATGGTCTAGATGTTGCGAGAAAACTTACCATCCTTGCGCGTCTTGCTGGGCTGGAGGTTGGGTCGCCAACATCATTCCCTGTCCAGTCTCTCATCCCCAAGGAACTCGAGTCGTGCTCTTCAGGTGACGAGTTCTTGTCTAAGCTTCCCGAGTTTGATGGGCAAATGGATGAGTTAAAGGCCGGAGCGGAAAAAGAAGGCAAGGTTGTGCGGTTCGTAGGCAGTGTTGATGTGCCGAAGGGAGAGGTCAAGGTTGGGTTGGAGAAGTTCGACAAGAGCCATCCTATTGCTGCGTTGAAGGGTAGCGACAACATCATCGCGTTCTATACGAAGCGGTACGGTGATAACCCGTTGATTATTCAGGGCGCAGGTGCTGGTGGTGAGGTAACGGCTATGGGTGTTACAGGTGATCTTCTCAAGGTATTGAGATTGCTGTAATAGGCATAGATACTGGCGTGGGAGCGCGCGTGAGTAAGTGCGTTTAAAAGACAAAAGCTACGCCTCCATGGGTAACTATCTTCTTGTATTGATATATTTTTAGCTGGATACAATCAATCGATCAACAGAAGTGTCTCTGCCTGCACATAATCCTACTGCACTAGGCAACGCGTCGTATATTGAATTGTTGAGGGATGTGGAGAGGGAACGGGGGTATGTAGAATGATGAAGTAGAGATAGAAGAGGAGAAGAGAGGAGAGGAGACGGATACGGAAAAAAAACTTGGAGCGGTGTATGTATATACAAGTGCAAAACACAACCTACTTCCTCCCACCCACCCCTTCCCCATGTCATGTTTAGAAAGATATAGAAGCAAAAAAACGACCACGACGAGACTTGAACTCGCAATCTCCGGATCCCCCTTCTTCATCAGAGCACCGACAAGATACTCCCAGCGTTTAGAAGTCCGGCGCCTTGCCATTAGGCCACGCGGCCCACTCCAACTTATACCGCCTCGTTTCAAATAAATACCTTATATCGTTACCAGAAGAAGCGCGTGGGATTGTAAGATATTGTGACAGCTCATGTGCGAGGGCTATGCAAACAGAGCGTGTGCTACCTAAACAACGGCCGCGCAAGAGAGGGAGTGGCAGTGCGGCGAACGAACAGAAGAAGCACAGAGCCGGGTTGTGGGGATTGTAAGACGGGCACGCACAGCTTCATATGGAAAGGAGTTGGAGGAGATGTGTAACTCGCTTTGGGGGTGCGGATGCGAGGGTCAAAACATGGATCTGTGATACATGAACGGGAGCATGCAGTTTTGATTTGTGGTGTTGTTCCTTGGATGGACTGTCTGACAGTATGAGAAGATGTGTGGAGACGATTGAACACTCCTAAAAATTGTGAAAAGCGTGTTTTTTGTGGGAGAAAGATATATCTTTTTGGATACAGGTTTGAGGATGATCTAGTCCAAATACGATTGTGATAATGAACATGATCTGAAACCAACCACCAACAGCATAATGTCCATTTGAAAACCATTAGTAGTATGATAGTAGAGAAGCCTATTTTATGGAGGCTATTTACGACCATTTACCTTTAAAAAAAACAGTCGAGATCTCTGGCACTGCTTGGTCTTTCCAACCCTCCTCCATCCACCTACTCACTAACACATCCCGATTCTTACCATCTGTGTAAAAATAATCACCTCAATTGCCGAAAACGCCACACCTAACCTGAGCGTATAGTTCCGACCCTTTCCGACCCCAAGAATATATGAGAGGCTGATATTCCTCGTAGCGGTACTACAGGGGTGTTGCTACATGTGCGGAGTGCTGGGCGGTGATGGGATGCCACGGGACTGAGAGGCTCTAGATCTCTTGTTGTATCACGCGAGAGCAGGAGAGGATAAACAAGGAAATGTCTGGGTCTAGGAGTCTGTTGAAGACTTGTTAGTGTAGCCCAGGACCCATGGACGTGGCCCTTGTTGCAATATCCAGAACTCAAGAACCATGAAGCGTGCCACGAGCCTCGTGGCTTCCATGCGGCTCTCTCGACAGATATGAAAAGTGCTGTAAGGATGCTGGGGTACAGCCGGAAAGGAACACACTCCTACAAGCCAAGGGCTATTGAATCAAATGTCCGTAAGCTCATCAGCCTGAAGAGTGTCTTGGATGCGGGGTCTGAGACATGGTATGGCCTTGGTGTATGTGCACACCGAGGGAATGGATGAACCAGCCGCCCATGGGTTGCCGCCATTGGGAGAATGAAGGCTGACTCCAAGATAGGAAGACGGGATGCCAAGGGGAGGCCAAGTCCTCTCAAGCTCGGACATTTGCTCGTCTGGGGACGGAGCGGGGCATGTGTGGCACAGAACGTAAGAAGGCTGGGAATCGGCGAAGATAAATGGTACCAAGATACACACTGAGGTTGTATGATGTGGACGAAGGAAGGAGAGAAGCGGATGTGGTCATCCTGGGTTAGGCTATGGTAATGGAAATGCCGAAAAACACTTGTCGACTGCAGGATTCTCCGTGTGATCACTTCTACAATTATTAAACGAATAGTCCAGCATCTAAGAGCGGCGCCGAACTTGTCGTTGTCCGGTCTTGGTGGATACAATGAACGTGGAAGCAAGCGATTTAGGTGTAGCCACTTGAGAGTCCGGTCATCAAACCCGCCACTTGTGCAGAATCCTGGCGTCCATGATTCCTGTGATAAGGGCTGACCTCAGCTGGCCGGCAGCTATTGTCCCGAGTATGCACCTGGGCAGATCAGAATGCAGTGTAGGTTATCTGCCAGACGTAACTTACATAATTAGGGTAGGAGACGCCAAGTGGTTTGTTGTTCCAAGGTTCCAAGGTGGAAAGTGCAAGGTAGAATGCCGTTCGTTACGCAGATTGCCGACTGCCACGAAGCTGCATGATACTATTTTGGATCTCGGAATGGAGGACGTGGTGGTGTTGAGTCACACCCATCCAACGCACGATAATCTGATAATATGGCGGGGTTGGTAGAGCATTGCTGGTGTTGTTGGCTCCAGTATTTCACATGGCTTTACACACACCAGGCATCGGGCGCCTGCCCTCATCAAAACAGTGAGGGTGTTATGACCAATATTTGGGAATACTGTCCTGCCAAACTTTAGGTCATACCTGCTTTAGTGCTGCTCTTGCCCTGGAAGGCGATAGGCTGCTGGCCACCTCCGCTCCACGAGGCTCTTGGCATGCAGCTTGTTTGGAGAAGTGCTCTGTCTGCCTTCCCCAGCGACGATCAGCATGCTCTTCCCGTTCTCGCGCGGGGACACCCGTTCATGCTCCGCGTCGGAATGAGGTGGTCGCGTGATGGTTTGTGTGTCATTGCTGGTGTTGATCGAAATTCGATTGCCAGCGGAGTCGAAAGCAAGGTTGCGCCAAGCGATACCAAGGAGCACCTTTGCTTGGCCTTGCCGGCGGAGACCAAGTGGGTCGAATAGCGTAGAGGGGCAACCAAGCGCTGCATGAAGGCGTTGAGGCTGTGCAAATGCTCCTCAAGGATGTTGTTTCTCGCAGGGACGAGATGGGTTTCACGAGATAACTGGTCAGTAGCTTTTCGTTCTCCCTCGTGTCAGAAAGCGACTCCGTCCGCCGTGATAATATCAAAACGCAAATTTTGCGGGTCTGTGGGCCATCAGGGTGCCTGGGTACGAGAAGACGCTGATATCCGACCTTCGGCGAGCGCAACGACCAGCAGCTTAAATGGGGGATGATATGGTTGATTTGAAGCGAGTTATCTGTGAAGAAAACGTATGCTGCACGCCGCGGCTGCATCCTGCGGCGGTGATGCGATGTGACTTGAGCATGATGTCTTACCGTCCGAAATGCAGGCGGCTACGCAGAGGGAGAAGCGCGCCTCTCACAATGCCGCCAGCGAAACGTGGGAATTGTTGATATCCGTATCATGGTGGGATAATGAGATAAGTGCCGCTCGGAGTGTTGCTTCTTTGGACGGCGTTGGGCAGCAAAAGCGACGAGAGCCCAGGGGATGGGGGGTCCTAGTCAGGAGCCCGCAAAGGGGAACCGGGAACAGCAAGAATGGCGGCTGGTGGCCGTGATGATGGCCGTGATGATGGCCTCATTGTGAGGTGCACAGGCAATGACTTCATAGCCAGATTAAACAGCTTCCAAGGGTGTCTGTTTCGGCTGCTCGAAAAACGTTATTGATCAGCAGGATTCAACCGCTCCTCATCTCCCGGGAACCTCGCTCGATGCGCTCGCTACCGCATCGGATATCTGCAGCGTTTATTGCCCACGTTTGCTGGTGTGCAGAAAGAACATCACTTCTTCTGTATCGATAGTGGTGCTCATGCTCGCCTCTTCAGCATCGCAGCAGGACCGATCTTGCTGGGGCATTGGGCGGTGGGCAGTGGGCAAAAAAGTAGGCATGGTTTTGCTTGGACCTGGCTCCCCTCAGACCCAAGCCCATGCGCGTCCACACCAGCGTCCTGACTCTTCTTGACCGTCGGCGGCGCACGAAAATTCCCGTCCGGACCCATGCCCGCTTCTGTTTTGGCAGAATTGCCCCCCGGCGCCAACAGGCGCAGCCCTGGAGCAGGTCTGTTCGCTGCCTGAGAGGGAGTCGGGGTTGCTGTTTGATTGTTGCGCAGGGCACCGCAAAAGAACACAGACGAGCGCTGATAGCGGCGGCTGCAGGCCAATGGCACGCCCACGTTGAGGGGCCCCTCCTGAGCGCGCTGAGCACTCCGTGGGAGGCGTTGGTGTTGTGGTACGGCGGGCGCACACCGAGACCCACAGTATGGTGAGAACGTCGCCAGTCCCGGCGCGCTGGCTCGGATCTGCCCAGGGCCCGTCTGCAATTGCCTCCGGGCTGTTTTAGCGCGAGTTTCGCGTGCTTCGTCCCGCCGCCGCGACGGACAGTGAATGTCCAACCCCTTTTCGGCCACCGCCTAGCAGTGTCCTGGCCTTGGACGACGACAACGACATGACCGCTGCCAGTCTCCACCCGCGCTAGCACCCAGACCCCTGCTAAAGCTGGCCCTTTGTGTCGCCCAGACCTTTGGGACACGTTAAAGACGATGCTGTTCCCCCCAGCCCAGCAGGATCACTTCACTCCGAGACGCCCGCCGACCGCTGCACGCCCAAATAATAAGGCTGACCTGACCATCACCTGCATCAAACACCGACTCTTATCTTCCCTGTTGTCGTTTCCAGCACCCACTTTGTTTGATTTTCCCCGACTGTCATCTTGCGTCGGCCCTTTGTCAGCTCCACAGGCTGCCAACCACCACCAGGGCTCTGGAAAAGGTTATCTTTACGGCTTCCCCTCAGACCTTCCACAACTTCCGTTTGCTGCTTTGCATTCAAATACCGTGTCCACTCCGTCGTTGTCCCTTAGCATTCGATATCATTCCTCAGGGAAGAGGCAAGGGGAAACTCGACCCGTCTGGCCTATCAAATCGCGAGTCTTGGCACACGAGACCGTTTCACTGCCCTCCGCCTTTTAAACACCACGTACACGCCACCATATAAACAACCTCGTCCGCTTGGCGATAGCACCACCTCCTTTCCATCTCCATCTCCCTCTGTCCCATCTTCACTTTGAACCCACTCCACCGACATTCCCAATACCACTTCATACTGGCATTCGACAGCCGATCCGGTCACGAGCTCGACAAAAATTTAAACTTCATCGTCCATATTCACGTGCACACCACGACTTTCAAGACGTCTTCGCAAGCTACATCTTCCCTGCCCCACGGCAGGTTCGCCCCAACGCGCCAATATCTCGACATAACCTGAACCACCATCACCACCCGTCACAATGTGTGTCGCTGAACTCAACGTATCCATGCTGCCATGCCGCCACCGTTGGTACCATCTGCAGCGTCCGTGCTCTCCAACTGCAAGCCTCGCGACCTGTGGCTCTAAGCTCGGCCTCGCGGGATGGGAGATCAAGTGTGACTTCTGCCCCTACTGCTCTGGGTGGAACCTCTCCAC